AACACTCAAAGGGACACTAAACCAGCTCTTAACGGCCTGGAGGTAGGGGAACCACTAAGGCAGGAGGGAAGACGCTACACATGCACACGGCACAACCTGACACAGGTATAAGCGCTACGGCAAGGGATCGCCACATGATGCAGGAACCATGTTAGCGCAACAATAGATGACGGCAGAGATGTCCCTTAAAGGACTTCATGAACAACTGTTAGTAGACGGCCTTGGTATATAATCCTGCACCGCAAAGACCTGTTTATTATGAAGGAATTATGTTCAAGTGCAATACCATGATTGTTATGTCAATGACCGATCTAATGAAAAGCATTACTGTATAACTGTAATTTGATGGGGACCTTTCCCCCCCCCCCCTTTTTTCTACTTTCTGTACCCCTACCCACTTAAATATGACAAAATAAAAATTGTCAAATTGAAAAAAAAAAGTCTACATCCCCCCATATACATAACATACCCCTGGCAATGACCCCACAATAATAACAATAGATCAATCTAATTAACATATTAACACAGAAACTGGCTGTCCAATATGACCACATTTCCACCATATTAAATTGTAGGGGTGTACCAAGACACCGCTACCCACCATATCCATTGTAGGGGTGTTCCAAGACACCGCTACCCAGCAGTTCCAGTGTACCAAGACACCACCACACCCCCAGGTTCGGAGCCACCGTAGGTTCGGGCTCGAACCTACCAACCATGTGTAACACTGCCTAATCCACACTAAACCTCAGGATACCCACTTCTTCCTTAATCTACCCCCCGATTTAACCTGGCCATTCCCCGCCACTGTGAAAAAACAGGAAAATGATCTAACCTAACCAATTTCAGGGATGTTGGGAGGGAAAACTGACAGGTAAGTTTAAGTTCAGTTAAGATGGCCTCTTCATAAGATGGTCGGTATAAATACTCCCCTCGTGGCTCTGCCCCACGCAGCTTGCTAGCTGTCACTCAACTTCCTATTGCTGTTATGCCTACCTCCTGGCTCTGTCAAGGACCACTCCCCTAGCTGCACTGATCCAGGCCTACATTTGGCCGACAGACATCTGCTTTGTAAAGAATGGCTTTTGCCATATTTGTGTCCTGGGTCCACAATGCTTCTCTATAAGATTGGATTTGGACCAGATATCACAAAGCTTGACTATCTCATCATGAGCAGATCAGGCTGCTGACTGGAGACTGTCTCAGCACTAAAGATACGTTTTGTGCAGCTATTTTGCTGTGTTGTTTTTTTTAAAGGAGGCCCTTCAATCTAAACTAAAAAAAATAAAAGAAACTAGGATAACTGCAAATGTTATTTTTAACATTAGAACGTTACTTTAAATGTGGAAAGGAAAATAGTGATTGACGAGATGGATTTAGATCGTAAGCTAGCGGTCACAGCCCTTAACCTTTCGTATTGGTCTGTTGATACTGTATTGTCTTTTTCCCAATTGTACAGCACTGCGGAATATGTTGGCCCTTTATAAATGCCAGTAATAAATCAATAAATAAATGGATTGGAATCTGGAAAGGGTCATGAAATGGGGAAGGGCAGATGGAATGATATGGAGCAACTGAATTGAAGGAGAAAGGAGGAAGTGGAGAGGAGGGGTTGAGATGAAGTTAATGGAAGATGACACTCAAAGGGTATCACTAGAAGTCAAAATAGTCAAAATAGCACAATCATACAAGTTTTTTCATGCTAATATGACGTTCTCACCCACTCCCCCCCTCCCCAAGTTGGTCACTATATTGATTTTTTTTCTAATTATCCAAAGAAAATGTGCATGTATTTTATTCCTTTTTGTTTCTTTAGAGGCCTATAATAAAACAGCTTTCTCCAACACAGACTTTCCGTTACTGACAGGTAATTGACCAGTTAAAAGAGCGTGCATACAATTATGGCTTCTCAATGCTTCTTATTGAGCTGTACTACATCTCAGTTATGTAGGGGTAAAGGCAGGCAAGTTCTAGCCCTGGACACCGGCAACTTCCCTTAGTTCTGTGAAGCTAGCTGAAGAAGATTAAAGCCTTCCTATTTGTCTGATTGACAGCTGGGAAAACGTTTCGGCAAAGTTTAATGAGAGTGCTTTATGTGTCTGGAGTGTTCCTTTAAGCTCAGCCTAGCCTTTAGTGGATTCAGACTGTAAGCTCTTTAACCTATTGTTCCTGCCAATTTTTGTAATTGTCTAATTTTTTGTTAAATCTCCCCCTCTTATAATATTGTAAAGCGCTACAGAAATATGTTGGCGCTATGTAAATGCCAATGATAAAAATAATAGTTGACATGATCAGGCATTTGCAGGGACCAGAAACAGAAGTGCATAAGTGGTATTTCTATGTAAAAATTGACTTTGAACTGAAAATTCTCTATATAACATTTTGCTCCACGTAAAGCCATAAATGTCATTTTTCAGGGCTTGTGATAAACAACGTATGAGATATTGAAAGGGGAACTGACAGAGCCAAAGAATTTTAATATAATGTTTACCTATCCCTTATATTTAAGAAATATTTTTGAAGTGTGCAAAAATAAAATGTAGAAATCAACACCTCTTTTTCTGTTGCTATTTCTTCTCTCTCTAGGCCTATCAAACTTGACGATTTCCAGATTTTAAGTTTTTTTTCCTTGCAATTGTCCCCAAAGAGTAGCAGGTGCTCATCATTAGATTTGTTCTCAATTATGTTTAGGGCACTAGGCCCATGCAGAGAGAGCATGGTCTGCCCTCATTGTGTTGGCTTTTTTCCTGAGTCCGCCTTTGGCCTGAGTATGCTCCCTATAGGCACAATTTGGATCATTGGCTCCCTTTTCTCTGACCCATCAGCATCCCGCTTCCCAGGATGCCAGTGTTGGGGGGGAGGGGGGGGTAAGCTATCCTAGAGTTTACCATCAGTAACTGGCAGATTGGTAGTAGATTTTCCTACAAATGATTTTTGAATATTTGTATGTGAGGTAATAATCATGTCAAGTGATGCACTGTTTCAGTAACAATATTTTTTTCCACTAGAGCTTGGAGAACCAATATTAATCAATTATAGCACTTTAAATGAAGTGCTTTAATTTTAAGCAATTCATATTCCTTTAACATGTCCCTTAAGGGATTTGAGGAGACATAATCAATGTCCATTAACTATTAATGTCAAGTCTAAGAAAAAGCAATTGAACACTGCATCAAGCAGTCCTTAGTGTCTGGTTTCAAACTATTTTTAGACTTCAAATGTGGTTTTTTCAGTCAAGACAGTTGTAGTTTTAGAATATTGTACATGTTAAATGCATTTCCTTAATTAAAGTGAACCTGTAACTTCTCTTTTTTATTAAAGGAACACTATAGTATTATGAATACAAAAGTGTATTCCTAACGCTATAATGTACCTCAGCCATAAAGCTATTGTCTGCCCCCACGCCCTGGGGTGTGAATAGGCTTTAAACACCTCTTTTCAGTGTTGAGGTCCCTTCGCATGCGTGCGCATTAGGCCTTTCCTATAGGAATGCATTGAAGCAATTCTTTCCTATTAGGATTTTGAAGACACTGTACATACAAAGCGTGAGGATGTCCAGCGTTGTTTCACAGAGTTAAATTCCATGTAAATGCAGGAAGCACCTCTAGTGGCTGTCTGAGACACAGCTACTAGAGGCAGTCTAAGCCCTGCAATATAAGTTACATTGCAGGACTAAGTTCAATAGGGACACTGCATTTTGATCAGATGTAGTGGTCTAGGATCCTATAGTGTCAAAAACCTGCATGCAGTGAAGGGGGGAAAGTATTTGAACCCCTGCTGATTTTGAACGTTTGTCCACTGACAAAGAAATGATAAGTCTATAATTTTAATGGTAGGTGTATTTTTTTTTACATTTTTTTTTATTCTTTATTTTATTTGTGCATAGCGTGAACAACCATGTTTGCACTGCCACGACAGCTGGTGCAAGCAAATATGCAAACATATGTTAACATTGGTATGGCATTGAAAAACATTGCACTTTTTTTTTTATATAGTCAGAGTAGGAAACATGTTAAGGGTTAAACAAGCTTATATGATTCGGAGCACTGATAGCCTGAGATAGTAGTTGATTGCCTATGGGCGAGTTAACCCGCTAAAATCTTATGCTAGATTGTCGTGTGATAGGCATGGTGAAATGCTACATGCTAAGAGCTAGGCACAACAGATTAAACAGTATAGTGAGGCTTAACACATATCAGTTAGTTCTGCGCAGTTTACACAGTACAGTTGAAATGACAGAGTGTGCTATGTGTTTGCATGTTGTACTGATGCGGTATATGTTAGTGCCTTCAGTGAGTCAATGGGAGCATGGAGAAATGTCAGGCATGTTGTGCACTGTACGTAAGAGGGAAAAGTGAAACATGAGGCAGAGGATTATACTATACCAGGCTGTAGTATGTCATTAAACAGGCTTTGTTCTAGCCAACATTGCTGCATGTTATGGCATAGTAAAACATACATATATCTCGTTTACTCCAGGCTTTACTTCAGAGACACTATGCTTGATTACACATAGACTGACTGCTTAGCTCTAACGGGTGAGAGGCCTGCGCTGTCATACTCAGTGACTACCTAGCTAGATAATAACAAATAATGGGAGTACACAGATATATAATGAGTCCCGCAGACCGCAAGCTTTAATGAGGCTGTATCTGTAGAGGTCACGGGTTGCAGTCTCTGGGTTCCCAATCTGGGGTTTCATCCCGCTCCGGTGCTTGGTAGGTACTTGGTAGGCTCCTCTCATGCCCAGGCGGTGTCATGGCGTCCCCTGCACTGTCTTATTAGTGTGTGGCAGCAGTTGTGGTGTCTCAGGTCCAGGCTGTTGAGGTGGGCTGTTTCTGGCTGGGTGCAGGGTGAGTTGCTTGATCTTTCGGCCCCTCAGGTCTGTCTTTGCGGGGCTGGCAGCGCTGAGGTCTGGTGGTCCCTATGGATTTACGTTGCAGGGCTTGTCCTGTAGGGTCCTGCTCTTTTTATGCCCCCTTTGTTTGTGCCTGTTAACTTTAGCCTGTACCTTGGTTCGTCCCAGTGTAGTCAGCTGACATATCCCTGGGGCAGGCTGTGATGGTGGTCAGGTGGTGCTGGTTGGTCTCCCATGCGATCAGCTTAATCATGCGGGTAGGTTGCGCACATGGCTGGCGTGCGGCGGCCATTTTGAGGAGCGCTGCCCGATGATCCTCGGCAGGGTGGTTGTTTTTAGGCCCTGATTGGTGCAACAGTAGTTGCCCGTGTAGACCGGTCCGGGGGGGGGGGAGCCAGATGCCGGCCAGAGACCCGGGAGAGCGGCCGTCTCGTCCCGGCTCAAGCTCCCACATGTTCCGGGCCCTTGTCGGGTCGTTGCTGGTGCCAGGCAGGGTCTTGGCGGGTGTCCCTGTGTTCCCCAGCAGCTGGGGGTCAATTTGGTCGCTTGTGTGTGTTACTGGGTAAGTGTAGTTTCTGGTTAACGCCGATTTTCCGGGCCTGGAGCGGGAGCTCAGACAGAGCACGTCTGATCCCGCCGGTGGTCAGGCCCTGCCCCCCAATGGTAGGTGTATTTTAACAGTGAGAGACAGAATAAAAAAAAAACAATCCAGAAAAACGCATGTCAAAAATGTTATAAATTGATTTTCATGTCAATGAGTGAAATAAGTATTTGACCCCTTCGACTTTGGTGAAAAACCATTGTTGGCAATCACCAAGGTTAGACATTTACACACATCTCAGGAGGGATTTTGTCCCACTCCTCTTTGCATATCCTCTCCAAGTCATTAAGGTTTCGAGGCTGACGTTTGGTAACTCGAACCTTCAGCTCCCTCCACAGATTTTCTACGGGATTAAGGTCTGGAGACCAGCTAGGCCATTCCATGACCTTAATGTGCTTCTTCTTGAGCCACTCCTTTGTTGCCTTGGCTGTGTGTTTTGGGTCATTGTTATGCTGCAATACCCATCCACGACCCATTTTTAATGCCCTGGCTGAGGAAAGGAGGTTCTCACCCAAGATTTGATGGTACATGGCCCCGTTTATCGTCCCTTTGATGCAGTTGTCCTCTCCCCTTAGCAGAAAACCACCCCCAAGCATAATGTTTTCACCTCCATGTTTGATGGTGGAGATGGTGTTCTTGGGGTCATAGGCAGCATTCCTCCTGCTCCAAACACGGCGAGTTGAGTTGATGCCAAAGTGATAGATTTTGGTCTCATGTAACCACAACACTTTCACCCAGTTCTCCTCTGAATTATTCAGATGTTCATTGGCAAATTTCAGATGGGCCTGTACATGTGCTGTCTTGAGCAGGGGAACCTTGCCGGCGCTGCAGGATTTCAGTCCTTCACAGCGTAGTGTGTTACCAATTGTTTTCTTGGTGACTATGGTCCCAGTTGTCTTGAGATCATTAACAAGATTCTCCCATGTAGTTCTGGGCTGACTGTTCTCATGATCATTAAAACTCCACGAGGTGAGATCTTGCATGGAGCACCAGACCGAGGGATACTAACAGTTATTTTGTGTTTCTTTCATTTGCGAATAATCACACCAACTGTTGTCACCTTCTCACCAAGCTGCTTGGCGATGGTCTTGTAGCCAATTCCAGCCTTGTGTAGGTCTACAATCTTGTCACTGACATTCTTGGACAGCTCTTTGGCCTTGGCAATGGTGGAGAGTTTGGAATCTGATTGATTGCTTCGGTGGACAGGTGTCTTTTACACAGGTAATGAGCTGAGATTAGGAGCTCATCCTTTAAGAGAGTGCTCCTAATCTCAGCTCGTTACATGTATAAAAGACACCTGGGAGCCAGAAATCTTTATTGATAGAGGATCAAATACTTATTTCACTCATTGACATGCAAATCAATTTATAACGTTTTTCGGGAATTTGTTTTTTGGTTATTGTCTTTTACTGTTAAAATACACCTACTATTAAAATTAAAGACTGATTATTTCTTTGTTAGCGGACAAACATTCAAAATCAGCAGGGGATCAAATACTTTTTTTCCTCACTGTGTATAATGTGGTGGAAATTTACTGAATGCCACTGAAATTCCAGTACAGGCTAAGGATATACATAAGGTTAAAAAGGGACAATGTTTATACATGTTGTAAACATTGTTTTTATGTTGTAAACATTGTTTTTATTTTTTATTACTATTGTGGTTTTTATAAAAAATGTTTGAGAAATTCTTTAATACTACTTTTTGCAAATAAAAGCCTTTTCTGATGTCTGTGGCAACTGATTGCACATGCAAAATAGCCAGTAGACTTGCTTTTTCAATGATACTCCCCAATTTAAAATTCCTGTGTATTGACGTGAGTGTACAGATTATGTCGCTTTTGGTAGCTTCATCTACCAGAAGTTCAAGGAGAAAAAAATTATGCGCAGAAGAGGAAGACATTGACATGGGCTCTTACTCTCTCCTCTTGACAGATACCACCATGTAAACAGGAGCATTTGGGAGCTTTTTAGATTGTTTTCACACCATAATTCTACATAAATATTAAGCAAGAACATGTTAAAGCATTGATAATAGTATTTGTAGCGGTTTGTGTTAAGACTGTCCTTAGGAATTCGTATTGAAAATCTATTCGTGTAATTGTTTCCCTGTATGTCTGTAAATGTATGAAGTTTTTGTATGATTGTTCGGTAGTTTCATATGAATGAAACTACTGAACCATCAGACCACCCCAGTGAGAAGTGTGCGCCTCATTAAGCGTTCACACTCTGCAAACCACAGCCTAATTGTATGTGCCTGTGTGGGCGCCGTTCGGCATGCGAACCACGTGCGGCGTCCATCTTACGCATAAAAATCTTAGCGGTGTTTGGTCGTCGAGTGTCTGGAACTCAAATTGGACACTCAAACAGCCGAACACCGCTGAGACCTCCAGAGTTCCATAACTCCCGAACGGAGGGACTAGTCAGCCCCCCGTTCGGTAAAATCAATGTCCCGAACAAGGGAATTCATACGAATGGAAGATTAGCTGTGGATGGCAGGTATTTCTATGTGTTTTAACTCCTGAACAGAGACCGACCGCAAGGCCAAAACACATGGAGCCTTTTTCGGATAGCACCTCGTGTGCGTTCGGTCAGATTACACCCTCCACCTAACTCCCGAACCCCTAGTTCGATCTGGGTGAATTTTGGATGTGTTAGTCACCCAGATTAGGGCTACCAGGGGGTACCCAAAGTATTATAATAACTGCTTGTTTTGGGGTACATCCAGAACCCGGAGAAAACTACAGCATGTTTAATGGGATTAGGTGTCACACTGAGGGGAGGAGATGTGTGGGGGATGTAACTGTGACATTATTGGTTACTGTCCTGATTAATGTGAATCCCTCCCTTGCATGGGAGAATGCTTTATAAGGAGGTTGTGTGGATTAAAAGTCAGTTCTGCTCCTGATGCTGTGTGTCGTCCAGTCATTGGGATCTGTATGGGAATATTCGTGGATTACCTTGCTTGCTGGGATTATTGCTCTATGGTGTTTTTATTACTTGTTCCTGAGCCTCACTGGGATCTTTAGTGGAGTTAACCTGTGAAATACCAGCTCTCCGCTACATTGGTCGGCAGCGCTGGGATCCAGACTCACAGAGGAACAAGTGCCAATGGAGAACGGATGGAGATTGACTATACTACACTAAAACGCTCCACGCTAAAAGATCTCCTGGAAGCAAGGGGTATTCCAGCCAGCAACAAAACTAAAGCTGAAGTCTTGACAGAATACCGCACAGATGGCGGTTCGGTTCCTGAACGTAGTGATTCAGTGGAAGGACAAGAACAAATGGAGTTTCAAAGGCAGCTACAACTTAGGTTGTCCTTTTATGGGGAGAATCCACTGGCAGAGATCATCTCCAGGACAATGACGGAAGTCCAGGAGTTTGTACTGAGGCAAAGGATAACGTCAACCCCAGAACGCAGTGCAGCAGTGACCATGGTACAAGAGGGTAAGACAAAAATACCGTACCAAGCATTCAAAATGTATGTAGAGGCAGAGGAAGACATAGATGCAGGGCCGGTGCAAGGATTTTTGCCGCCCTAGGCAAAAGTAAAGTTTGACGCCCCCCTCCTCCCCCCCCGTGACATCGCAATGCCCCACCCATATGACCTGCCATGTTAACTAACGCTAGTGCTGCAGTGCCGCTGTGTTTACATTAAAAGGCCTGCAGGGACAGGCTATAGACACCAGGACCACTACATTAAGGTGCAGTGGTTCTGGGGACTATAGTGTTTCTTTAATGTGAGGTAAATTAGAGATTAGTGCCACGAATAATATACTAGATTACCTACTTACAAGCAGATGAGGATGATGATGGGCTCTAGCTGCAGTCTGGCTCCACTGGTCTGGTGTATAACAGGATCTCTGGAGGCTGTTTGTAACTGTGGTCACACAAATCAATGTTCTGGGAGAACGAGAAGCAGCTCCATTTTTTGGGGCCCTTTACACAGCTCAAGGTCTGGGTCCCAGGGTCCACCTTCATTTTCCACCAATGAGTTTGTTCACAGGGGATGGAGTGTGTAGGGAATGTCCTGATTTGTGTGTAAGGAATGCATTTTGTGAATCTGTGTTTGTACGTGTAAGGGCTGCAAGGTGTGTTTCTGTGTATGTAAGGGATGAAGTGTGTGAGTCTGTAAGGGGTGCATTGAGTGTGTGTAAGGAATGCATTGTGTGTAAGGGTTGCATTGCGTGTGTGTGTGTAATGCATTGTGTGTAATGCATTGTGTGTTTTTCTGTGTGCAAGGGGTTCATTGTCTTTGTGTGTAAGGGGTGCATTGTGTGTGATTGTGTGTGTGTGTGATGGATGTCAATCTCTCCCCCCTCCCTTGTCACTCTCTTCTCCTCCCCTCCCTTGTTACTCTCATTCCCCCTCCCTCCCCTGTCACTCCCCCCTCCCTGTCAATTTCTCTCTCCCCGTCAATTCCCCTCCCTGTCAATGTCTCCCCCCGTTAGTTTCTTCCCCCCCCACCTCCCTGTTAGTTTCTTTCTCCCCCCTCCCCTGTCAGTTTCTTTCCTCCCCCCTCCCCTCCCCTCCCTGTTTCTTTCTTCCCCCTCCCTGTTTCTTTCTTCCCCCTCCTTCCCTGTTTCCTTCTCCCCCTCCCTGTTTCCTTCTCCCCCCTCCCTCCCTCTTTTTCCCCCTCCCTCCGTTTCCTTCTCCCCCCTCCCTCCTTCCCTGTTTCCTTCTCCCCCTCCCTCCCTGTTTCCTTCTCCCCCTCACTCCCTCTTTCTTTCCCCTCCCTCCCTCCCTGTTTCTTTCTTCCCCCTCCCTCTGTTTCCTTCTCCCC